AGGTCTGGGGCAGGTCTGGAGCAGGTCTGGGGCAGGTCTGGGTGTTGCTATGGAGCTAAATACAAACAGTCATTTCTGCAGTGGTCGAGGTCACACCTGGTTCTTCTACAAACTGTCATTTATTCAGTGCAGACTGCGGCTTATACAGGTGTGGATACAGGTGTAGATACAGGTGTAGATACAGGTGTGGATACAGGTGTGGATACAGGTGTGGATACAGGTGTGGATACAGGTGTGGATACAGGTGTAGATACAGGTGTGGATACAGGTGTAGACAAAGGTGTAGATACAGGTGTGGATACAGGTGTGGATACAGGTGTAGATACAGGTGTGGATACAGGTGTGGATACAGGTGTGGATACAGGTGTGGATACAGGTGTAGATACAGGTGTAGATACAGGTGTGGATACAGGTGTGGATACAAGTGTAGATACAGGTGTGGATACAGGTGTAGACAAAGGTGTAAATACAAGTGTAGATACAAGTGTGGATACAGGTGTAGATACAAGTGTGGATACAGGTGTGGATACAGGTGTGGATACAGGTGTGGATACAGGTGTAGATACAGGTGTGGATACAGGTGTGGATACAGGTGTGGATACAGGTGTGGATACAGGTGTAGACAAAGGTGTAGATACAAGTGTAGATACAAGTGTGGATACAGGTGTAGATACAGGTGTGGATACAGGTGTAGATACAGGTGTGGATACAGGTGTGGATACAGGTGTGGATACAGGTGTAGACAAAGGTGTAGATACAGGTGTGGATACAGGTGTGGATACAGGTGTAGATACAGGTGTGGATACAGGTGTGGATACAGGTGTAGATACAGGTGTGGATACAGGTGTGGATACAGGTGTAGATACAGGTGTAGATACAGGTGTGGATACAGGTGTGGATACAGGTGTAGATACAGGTGTGGATACAGGTGTAGACAAAGGTGTAGATACATGTGTGGATACAGGTGTAGATACAAGTGTGGATACAGGTGTAGATACAAGTGTGGATACAGGTGTAGATACAAGTGTGGATACAGGTGTGGATACAGGTGTAACCACACGGTAACCACACGGTGACCACACGGTGACCACACGGTGACCACACGGTGACCACACGGTGACCACACGGTAACCACACGGTAACCACACGGTAACCACACGGTAACCACACGGTGACCACACGGTGACCACACGTCTCTGGTGCCGTGTGCTTTGACCTGATCTTCCTGTGTTTGCCGTGAGCTGGAGTTATTCTGGGCGTCTCCCGGGACTCATGACTACCCATGATCCTCTCTGTTTCTCTTCCGTTCATAAGGAAATATGGATTTGGCAAATTATCACAATATATAATACTCTGATTATTCTACCACCTGATTGGAAGATTTAATTTGTCAAGATGGACAGGGACTGGACTCCCAGCAGGAGGCCAGTCCCTGTGCTCCTCAGAGTCCCAGCAGGAGGCCAGTCCCTGTGCTCCCCAGAGTCCCAGCAGGAGGCCAGTCCCTGTGCTCCCCAGAGTCCCAGCAGGAGGCCAGTCCCTGTGCTCCCCAGAGTCCCAGCAGGAGGCCAGTCCCTGTGCTCTTCAGAGTCCCAGCAGGAGGCCAGTCCCTGTGCTCCTCAGAGTCCCAGCAGGAGGCCAGTCCCTGTGCTCCTCAGAGTCCCAGCAGGAGGCCAGTCCCTGTGCTCCCCAGAGTCCCAGCAGGAGTCCAGTCCCTGTGCTCCCCAGAGTCCCAGCAGGAGGCCAGTCCCTGTGCTCCTCAGAGTCCCAGCAGGAGGCCAGTCCCTGTGCTCCTCAGAGTCCCAGCAGGAGGCCAGTCCCTGTGCTCCTCAGAGTCCCAGCAGGAGGCCAGTCCCTGTGCTCCTCAGAGTCCCAGCAGGAGGCCAGTCCCTGTGCTCCTCAGAGTCCCAGCAGGAGGCCAGTCCCTGTGCTCCTCAGAGTCCCAGCAGGAGGCCAGTCCCTGTGCTCCTCAGAGTCCCAGCAGGAGTCCAGTCCCTGTGCTCCTCAGAGTCCCAGCAGGAGTCCAGTCCCTGTGCTCCTCAGAGTCCCAGCAGGAGGCTAGTCCCTGTGCTCCTCAGAGTCCCAG